GGGGGGTGTTGGCCAAAGGCCCTCCAATGCCTAAGTTAGGTTGGGAGTTTCAAGGAAAACCGGGTGGCCGGAGCCGTGTATGGTGGCCGGAGCCTTGTGTGGGAGAGAGAAAGAATAGGAAGGAAGAAGGGTTTATGAGAAATAATTTATGCGGAGTTTCAGTAGGAATTCAGACGTACCTCAATCCTCGTGTGTAGCCAATATTTATAGAGGGTCTCAGAGGCTTTAATTTGGCGAGGTTGGTGGGGTTGGTGTATTTAGGGGTTAGGGATCTAATCAAATCCCTAATTAAGACAAAAATCAAAGACATCTAATTTAAATCAAATAACCTCCTAATTAATTCAGATAATTCCCAATTAGGCTAGGTAACTCCCAATTAGGTCAAATAATTTATTGATTGGCCTAATTATTTGACCTAGAATGAGATATTTTGCTTCCACAAATGCCCCCCAGCTTCTGCATGGCGTGTGGCGGCATGGAGGAGGTGTGAATTAGATGTTGGGCTGTTCAGCTGTAATTAGGCTTCCTTCTGTGACTTGGGCTCCTGAGTGGAGGAGGTTTTTGACTTGCCAATTGGACTTTGACTTGGGCAGTCTAGCTGTAACTGGGCTAGAGGTGCGCTGGTCTGCTGCTAGAGCGGGTGGGAGTTTGGGCCAGCTTAGTTATTGGGGTTGGTCCAAACTGCTTCAATTTTTTGTGCCACGAACTAGGGATAGTTTGAGTCAAGGTGATCATGCGTGGCATACAGATGTGCTGGAAGTCATCGGCAGATGGGAATGGGAGGTCAGCGACAGTCCGCTCGTTCCTCATATCTACTGTGATGGTAAGTTGTACTTCTTTGATCTGCTATAGCCTTTCTGAAACTTTGCTGTGTATCTGACTGACTTCCATCTACTGCTTGCAGAGAATAACATATGCAAGAAGCTCGATCTCGACCCGAACATGTCTAAGGTTCAGCAAGCTCTGAACATCCCTATCTGGTTTAGTGAATGGTGCTGGTTGCTGAGCGAACATCGGAAGGAGGTCGATGGTCTGCCTCATACTAAAGATGTTGAAAGATGGAAGCTGCATGGCTCAGACTTAGGTGATCTGCCAGTCGAGCAGGAAGAGTCCTTGAGGAGAGGAAGGCTAGCAGCAGATCTGCCCACGATGAAGCCGCAATCTCACGATCAAGGGATACATCTCCACAACAAAAGCAGCCGAGACTTTCTTCTGCCACGAGCAAGTCTTCCTCAAGGGGGGTCTCGCCTACTAAGAAGGTCCATGTGGGAGTTGATCATACCTCGTCTGTTGGGCCAAATGCCTTGTCAGCTCGAATAGCAAAACGGTCAATGGCATGCAGGAGGTTCGCGATATTCTGTTCAAGTTTCCGCCCGTGCTGCCCAAAACTCGTGATTTGCCTTGTAAGCAGGTTGCTGAGAAGCAAGGTTTGGGGCGTCTGCACCGATTCGCAGATCAAATTGAGAGGAATGTACTTCTGCCTAGAAACCATGACTCGTCTGCAAGACCACGAACAGTCGAACGCGGAGCTGACTCGATGTTGCAAGTTGCGGCCAAGAGAGCTAAAGAGTCGTTTAGGTACACCTCCCTTCACAGGATCCAAGCAGTCCCCAGCAACAGAAAATCTAGCAGAAGGCCCATCACCTGCAGTTATCACCTTGGGATAGAGTGGGTATCATTAATGATAAAATTCCACAAACATCAAGCCACTGGGAAGAAAGTAAGAAGCTATAACATAAAGTACATGTAGACCACGGTGGATAGATAAAAAGGTTGCTTGGAAGCTTGAAACCATTCATAAAAGCAAGTAACCCAAAGGAACCATGGCATGCATGTTGTGACTCTCACTTTAGAAATCTAATGTCAAATATCAAGCGGGTAGTTCAAATAAGAGAACTACATATAATTGTGACACAGACGGTTGACTTCAACCATCACCTAAAATGTTTCACATTCTTCTGCATGTGGTCCACATGCACAAGAAGATGTGGATGAATATGTTTCAAAGAAAACAGAATCCTTTCTCTCTCTCTCTCTCTCTCTCTATATATATATATATATAGACACACGTTTGTCGAGCAAAGAGTCCTTCAGCTGCGCGAACTGCCGGTCCGGGAATTAGTGGTGTTGGCACTAAAACTGAACAGATAGAGATGAGTGCAACTTATAAGTGATGTGGACGATCTAGAGATCGATTGAGTGCTTGACGCAGATTCTTCTTGTCCTTGGATGCTGATCCTGAATAGAAGGAAGGCGAGGCTCGTGAGGTCTATGGAACCGGTGTGGAACCAGCCTAAGACCTTCCGATGCCGAAGTAAGTTTGTTTCTAAGAGCTTTTACTACTGACAACGTATTTAGCATAAAAGTCAAGCTGAAAAGTCTTACCCCTTGTATTGTAGTGAAGGGGCCTATTTATAGAGGGCATTTGGTATGGTCTTAGTACTCAATTTCGATGTGGGACTCGTGGGAGGGCCCTACGAGGTTGACACGAGTCTTTGGATATTTTGAGCGTGGCCTTCGAGGTTTGCTTCGGAGGATCGGTAGGTGATACCGATTGTAGACTCCACTGGGCATCATTGGTAGCCTATACTGATTGTTCGCTGTCTTGGGCAATTGGGGGTTTTACTAATCCACGTGTCGAAGTATGAGCGGATGGTCAGATATGGTACAAACAGGTGGTAACCCTGTTGGGGGTGAGTCTGTGTCTGATCTGCTTAAAACGGGCTTCATGTCAAGTCCAACTGCCTGTGCGAAGCTGGTTGACCATATGTATCGAGCTGGTGACCTTGGCGCTTTCTCGAGCCTTCCCTTGGATAAGCAAGAAGAAGCTTCCATGTATCATCTTCAAAAGGGGATGATTTTTGGTGTTGGGGCCATGCGGAACTCACGTGTTGTTGCCCCCTTTTCTGCCCTGCTTGACGAGCTGGTGAAGAAGAATGTTGATATGGCTGACAAGCTCTCGAACGAGCGGATTCGCCATGATGCGAGGATTTCCAAGATGAACGAGAGTATGTCCGCGCTTAAGAGTTCTGTTGGTCAAAAGGATGGTGAGCTCGAGTCTCTTATGGCTACTCTGCTCGAACGCAAGGAAGCCTACTTTCACCTCGAACGTAAACATACTGCTCTGGTCCAGGATCGCGACAAGCTGCTAGCCAAGTTTAACACCCATGTGGAAGCCACGGAGGCATCCAAGCATGAAATTGCTGCTAATGCATACAAGTTGGGATACTTGGACTGCCGTGTCGAACTTTCTTTCAGAAAAATAGATTAAATGGAAGGTGAAGATGAGCTTGAGGGTGGTAAGGGTATCATGGGACCAGGCCAAGGGAAGCAGTTGCTCAAGATATTTAAGGCAGGGGTTAACATCTCTATATTCTGGTCTGAGGGCGTCGAAAAAGAGATCAAGGCAAGGGTCACCGTACGAGGAGGAGGGAATACAATGCCAGATGTTGTTGTTGTTGTAAGAAGCCATTAATCTCATTCTTCTTTGGATTGGGATTGGGATTGACATTGGTTGTAGGGGTGAATAAATGAAAATATTGCCGCCTAATTTGCCTTTGCCGACGACATTGACAAGGTTAGGGTTTCGGTTTCGAAGGCATCCTTTGTTCGGATCATTCGAAACAACCCTCGCCCTTGTCAAACACACTTGTCCCGGCACCACTGCTTTATACATATCAGTCATCATCATCTCTCTAATATTCAAATTGAGCAGGAGAAGTGGTTCGTTGGTTGCTGCTCTCTCTCTCCCTACTTCACCCTTGAGCCTTGACTGTTTGAATTTTAGGGTTAGTTTTTTCTTTCCTTTTGTTGGAGATGATGACCCTAGGAACGTAAGTAAGAGGGCCTCTTTCTTTTTTCGTCTTTTATGACGAAACCCTCTTCTCTATTAAATGTAGGATTAATAAACAAGGGTTAATTAAAAGAGTGAAAATAAAATAAAATAAAGAATAACACTAGTCTTATAACATTTTTATACCACATGATGTGGCAACTGATGTGTACATACCACATCATGTAAAATACTAGTTTCTATTTTTCTAATTTTATTTATTAAAATACACGTCATTCATTTAATTGATGTAGCATATGATATGGACATGCCACATCATGTGGTATAGAAATATGAGATAAAAATGTGGTAAGTGTAGCACCAAACTCTAATTATATAATTAAATTATTTTTTTGGTCATGATTATAGAATTAATTGTAGAATTGATAGACCCCGTTGCCAATTTTTTTTAATTTTTAAAGGGTGCTGTTAAACAAACCATAAAATTGAATGAGTAGACTCTACTATCAAACTATTTATTGAATTACTAATTTACCCTAATATAAAAGGAACAAAAATGATATATTAAATTGTGAAAAAAAATGTGAGTTTAATAAGTACACCCTATCATATTCAACCCAAATCAAACGTAATTCCAAAAACCTTAGTATTAGGGGTGACACTGACCAAGGGTGAAGTCTTTATGGAGGGAAGCTAAGGTGAAAGACTGTTTTGGATTTTAGGTACGAGAATCGGGAGAAATGCTTGAAAAGGGAAATGTTAAACAAAGAAACCAAGGTTGGGACAGTCCCTGTGAGAGAGTCTTAGGTTAAAGCCAATATACTTGCGGAGGAGCTAGGAGGTAGTAAGGGAGTTGATTTATTTATTTAAAAAGAGTTTAAAATAAAAGGGTTTGGGGCTGTCTGCAAGATGATATATCCTCTGGTTTTCCATATTCAGAAAATCAAAAGAAAGGAAGAAGTTGAAGAATAAGATGATCAGCTTAGCAATCACACCTAGGAAAAGAAGCATATGCTGGTGAGTATCTTTCATATGCTGGTGTTATTCATGATTTTTTTATATTAAGTACTATAGGTATTTTTGGTAGTTAAATAAGATATACTTAGTTAATTTTACATTTTAATTTAATTATTAGGATGTACTCTCAACTAGTTTTAAGGTTCATTTAACAGCATTTTTTTCAGGGAAGAAAATGAAAAGATAATACTTAACCTGTGTATAAGTAATACATGTCATCCAGTGCCTCAAGACTTTTATTGCAACCACCAAAAAACACAGGTACACCTCCCTTCACAGGATCCAAGCAGTCCCCAGCAACAGAAAATCTAGCAGAAGGCCCATCACCTGCAGTTATCACCTTGGGATAGAGTGGGTATCATTAATGATAAAATTCCACAATCATCAAGCCACTGGGAAGAAAGTAAGAAGCTATAACATAAAGTACATGTAGACCACGGTGGATAGATAAAAAGGTTGCTTGGAAGCTTGAAACCATTCATAAAAGCAAGTAACCCAAAGGAACCATGGCATGCATGTTGTGACTCTCACTTTAGAAATCTAATGTCAAATATCAAGCGGGTAGTTCAAATAAGAGAACTACATATAATTGTGACACAGACGGTTGACTTCAACCATCACCTAAAATGTTTCACATTCTTCTGCATGTGGTCCACATGCACAAGAAGATGTGGATGAATATGTTTCAAAGAAAACAGAATCCTTTCTCTCTCTCTCTCTCTCTCTCTATATATATATATAGACACACGTTTGTGGCGGAATGACATGAATATGTTTCAGATAAGTACTTGAAAGTATATTATCAACAAGTGAGGTATAACCAATGTAACAATTTTATCTTTTATATAATTGTAAATGGTCATTTAAGAAAATTATGATACCTGCATCAAGGATATGGAGGTCACCAGGTCTGCTACATCCATTATACCTGTTAAACCAATCACGAGATCCTTGTAGTTTCTGTTCCAGCTTTTGTTATCTCCAGTGACAGAGATAAGCTCGTGTATTTTGTACAGGTCGTCTAATTTCTCTAAACACACGCGTATATCTCTAGTGGTCTGATACCTAGATTTCACAGTGTACATGGAGTTTGGCGAGGTAAGACTGTTGCGATAGCTGAGTCTGGGTTCAGGCACAGCCAGTTTTAGTATCTCCTCAATTTGGAACTCAGGCATCTCTGTATCTGAAGGCTCTGAAGCATGTGTGTATATATATATACACGTTTGTTGTGGAAAGACATGAATATTTTTCAGATAAGTACTTGATACATACCAACATCAAGCATGTGGAGGTCATTGTATAGATTTTGGGCATCTGTGAATCCCCCAAAAACAAATAAATTCTTCCCAAAAGCAACAGTTGAATGACCAGCTCGGGGTGGCAAAAGCTGGCCTGAAGTGTTCAGCTCCCTCCACATTAGAGTATCTAATGAAGTACAATAATGCCAGAAATATAGAAAGTATATTATCATTTACAATATCACCAAGTGAGGTATAACCAATGTAACAATTTTTTATTATATATAACTGTAAATGGTCATTTAAGAAAATTATGATACCTGCATCAAGGATATGGACATCGGATAAATAGTAATCATGCCCATCTTCACCACCAATCACAATTATTTTGTTCTTCCAAGATGAACAAGTATGGCTATCACGTGGAGATGGTGGGTTGCCTGATGATGTAGCATGTTTCCATACAAACGTCTCTACAAGATAAGAGAACAAAAGAAGTAAACCACGTATTATGTGCTATCTGTATCAATCAGTGACTCCAAGTCAAAATAAAAACTGAATGTGATGTCCTACGCTCACAATAATCACTCCCTCCTTCCTCCCAGTCTAGAGTCTACAAAAACAAAATACTTATAGACTTCAATGAAGAGCACACCAACAACTTCATACCCTAAGAAGGTCCACATGCTATCCAAACAACTTATGCTAAATAAGATATCAATCTGCTCACCAAAGGAATTAAAAGCAAAAGAATAAATTTATGCATATAGCCATAAAATTGCCTTTGTTAGAGAAAAAAAACTAGTTAATGACACGTTATATGTCTCCACTCCATTTGTATTCATGCACGTACATTGAAACTTGGGTATCATCACATCGATGGGTTTGTTCTATAAAGTCCGACGTCGTTTTATCAGCCAAAAAAAAAGGGAATCAAAGGTAAACTTTTGTTTTTATTCCATTTACGCTTGGAACACAAATTTAGTTATATAATGACACGTTACATGTCACATTAGAACATGTATCAATCCAGATATATCAATCCACGTGAGTGTATGCAACGTTTTAAAACATGTATCAATCCATATGTATCAATCCACATGAGTGTATGCATTGTTTTATGTATAAATCCAGATGTATCAATCCACGTGAGTGTATGCACCATTTTAAAACATGTATTATATAGAAATATGAGATAAAAATGTGGTAAGTGTAGCACCAAACTCTAATTATATAATTAAATTATTTTTTTGGTCATGATTATAGAATTAATTGTAGAATTGATAGACCCTGTTGCCAATTTTTTTTAATTTTTAAAGGGTGCTGTTAAACAAACCCTAAAATTGAATGAGTAGACTCTACTATCAAACTATTTATTGAATTACTAATTTACCCTAATCTAAAAGGAACAAAAATGATATATTAAATTGTGAAAAAAAATGTGAGTTTAATAAGTACACCCTACCATATTCAACCCAAATCAAACGTAATTCCAAAAACCTTAGTATTAGGGGTGACACTGACCAAGGGTGAAGTCTTTATGGAGGGAAGCTAAGGTGAAAGACTGTTTTGGATTTTAGGTACGAGAATCGGGAGAAATGCTTGAAAAGGGAAATGTTAAACAAAGAAACCAAGGTTGGGACAGTCCCTGTGAGAGAGTCTTAGGTTAAAGCCAATATACTTGCGGAGGAGCTAGGAGGTAGTAAGGGAGTTGATTTATTTATTTAAAAAGAGTTTAAAATAAAAGGGTTTGGGGCTGTCTGCAAGATGATATATCCTCTGGTTTTCCATATTCAGAAAATCAAAAGAAAGGAAGAAGTTGAAGAATAAGATGATCAGCTTAGCAATCACACCTAGGAAAAGAAGCATATGCTGGTGAGTATCTTTCATATGCTGGTGTTATTCATGATTTTTTTATATTAAGTACTATAGGTATTTTTGGTAGTTAAATAAGATATACTTAGTTAATTTTACATTTTAATTTAATTATTAGGATGTACTCTCAACTAGTTTTAAGGTTCATTTAACAGCATTTTTTTCAGGGAAGAAAATGAAAAGATAATACTTAACCTGTGTATAAGTAATACATGTCATCCAGTGCCTCAAGACTTTTATTGCAACCACCAAAAAACACAGGTACACCTCCCTTCACAGGATCCAAGCAGTCCCACATGTATCAATCCAGATATATCAATCCACGTGAGTGTATGCAACGTTTTAAAACATGTATCAATCCATATGTATCAATCCACATGAGTGTATGCATTGTTTTATGTATAAATCCAGATGTATCAATCCACGTGAGTGTATGCACCATTTTAAAACATGTATTAATCCAGATATATCAATCCACATGAGTGTATGCATGTTCTTACATGTTTCTTCACCAGATAGATCTTTGGAAACCAGCAACCACTTTAATCTAACCTAGAGACTATTTTAAATATCTAAGGAGATTACAATGGTTTTATTCCAAAAAGAGAAGAGCCAAACAAAGCAACAATTACAATCCTTACAACTATTTCTTTAACAAATAAGTTTCACCATAGACCTTGATCATGATAATGAACATGCCTTCTTAAACTAAGGTTTGAATTTGCTAACGGGTTTAGCCCAGTGATCAACATTACATTCAATCGTTTTCTCTTTTCTTAGATCTGAGAATTTTTCGTCCATTTTCCTGAGAATACTTTCTCAGGAAAATGTCTGCTAAGCGATCATCTATCTGGACAGTCAGTAAATGTTTGATCTCAATTAAAATAATTTCATCAATTTATCTTTTTAGTTTCCTCCAAAATCTCATTATTATGCTCATCAAACTTGAAAGTTGAATCATATCTGTTAGATCTTGAACAAATTATTTTTGTACACATTGAAGAGAATGAAGATAAAGGAATTGAGAAGTTTAAGCTTAAATGAATGATCACAAAAATAAGTAAAATCATACTCATTTGAATTATAAAATCATGCAAGTGCCCTTCAAGTCATCTCTCTTTGGTATGTCATATTATAATTGTGTGCTAACAAGGTGTACCATTGCATGCAAAGTTTATAATGCTATAACTTTGTAGTCACATAGGTAGTATGAGAATTCTATTGTAAAATTTTTAAAATAAAAAATAGCTAGTTCTGTCCCTTGAAAATCAAAATAGAAATTATATGAAAAAACTCCATCCCTAGTGTGAAAATATGTACGAAGAATAATTAGGCCAAGCTGGCCCAACTATTTTGGTAGGTATTTTTAGTCAAATTAGTTGAATATGTTGAACCCTATTCCAATTCATGTGAGTCTCAGATTTAGGAATGGTGTTTTTTTTCCTTTTTTTTCTTTCTTAAGGGACGGTGTTTTTAACGAACTGAAAAATGTCAAACAATAATGTTAGGTGTTGATAGAACTGAATATTCTCATTAACTGAATGTAATTATGATTACAAAACTGATATAATATACAAGTAAAGGCTATAAGAGTGACAGCTGTACAAGATCTGTTACAATAAATTAACAAAAGATAGAATTAGTTCTAACTGATCACATGAGCTTGACTCAGGTCTTTGACTGAGATTAGTGGCTAGGATTGTTTTCAATAGTAGCTCTATCAGCCCCCCTCATGCTGAAGGGTGCAGTGCAAACTGAGAGCTTGGAACAAAGAAACTGAAATCGAGCAGTAGAGAGAGATTTAATGAAGATGTCAGCCAACTTATATGAGCTTACAAATTTCAAACGAACATAACCAAGAAGGACTAATTCTCGAATAAAATGGTAATTGACCTCAATGTGTTTCGTCCTTGCATGAAAGACTGGGTTTGAAGCCAAGGCCATAGCAGACTGATTGTCACACCACAAGGTCGGTGGATCAGCAAGGTATAGACCAATATCTTTGAAAAGTTTGGAGATATAGACTAACTCAGCAGCAGGGAGAGCAATACCACGATACTCTGCCTCTGTACAACTGCAAGCAACAGTGGGTTGCATCTTAGCAGACCAAGAAATGAGAATGGAGCCGAAAAACACACAGTAGCCACTTGTGGACTGGCGATCAATGGGGCAACCAGCCCAATCAGCGTCAGAATAGGCGTGAAGATGAGTGGAACCTTGCTGAAACCAAAGACCATGCACCAAAGTACCTTTCAAATATCGGAGAATACGCTTAACGGTGGCGATCAATGGGGCAACCAGCCCAATCAGCGTCAGAATAGGCGTGAAGATGAGTGGAACCTTGCTGAAACCAAAGACCATGCACCAAAGTACCTTTCAAATATCGGAGAATACGCTTAACGGCTCCTAAATGAGACTTAAGAGGCTGATGCATAAACTGGCAGACTTGATTGACAGCAAAAGCCAACTCAGGCCGTGTCCATGTAAGGTACTGCAAGACCCACCACCAGTGTCGAAAACGTGCACTTGGTTGGTCTGACAGTTATCTTTGCCATAACCCCCAAAGACATATAGCAACCTCCCTTCTTTAATGGCGTTGCAGGTGTGCCCCCACCTCTTCCCTGGCACAGATATCTCACACAACAATCCTTGTTGTTGCTGTTGCTGTTGCTGGTGAGCTTGTTTAGGCTGTAGCTGAACCCTTTCCCACCTCATTTTCTGGGTAACAACGGGGGGAGAGATACCCAGTGTTAAAATATGAATATGGTTTTGAATATGTTAGGTTCTTATTTTTATTCTTCTCCATAAGGAGGTATATATAAGAGTTTACATGAGTGCTTTACAAGGAATTAGATATAGAAAAGGATTAGGAAAGTATCTCCTAATTATACAATGATTTGACAACTATATAAAATAGGAAAGTAAATCCCTTAATTAACCAAGGAAATAAATCACCTTGATTAATTAGGAGACTCACTTCAACACTCCTCCTCAAGTTGGTGCATATACGTCAAATGCCCAACTTGGTAAGTGAGTCATGAAATTCGTAGCACCCAAGTCGATAATCCACGCGAATTTTTGAGAGGACATATGAAAAGTAGAACATCAGGATTGACCGCATGCTTTTGTGAGTCTTAAGATTCGATCAACTGCATTCCTATGAGACACACTGTGCCCATGTGCCATTCTTCTGGAGAGCTCGCATTTCTTCATTCTTGACTTCTTTCCATTTTTTGGTCTTCTAGTGCTTCAATTACACTATTGGGAACAGGTATGTCGGCTAACTGCTTCACAAAGTGTACCCGTGACTCTGATAATCTGTTGAGGGATACATAATTGTTGATGGGATATTTCCCCTTTGCATTAAGATCTGCTTCGTAGTGAACTGGAGGTTTACCACGATTCTTCCTTTTTTTTGGAATCTGATGTGCAGGCTCTGTGCCTTCTGAATGACGTCCTCAGCAGGTGATTGGTGTGGTACTGGAGCTGAAGCGGACAAAATCTCATAAGACGGTTCAATTTCCTCCTCCTGATTTTGACAGCATGGAGAAAATTGATCGTTTTCCTCTGGTGACCGGTCGCAGGATTTTGGGGACCGGTCGGTTTGAAACAGCTTCTCTGACTACCAGTCGCTTTCCACTGGCGACTGGAAGTTTTGAAGCAGATTCTCCGTGTTCGAAGAACTAAGGGGGGGCCGGTCGCTTTCCACTGGCGACCGACCATTTGATTTGATTTGATTTGATTTGATTTTTTTTATTTTTTTTATTTTTTATTTTAATATGAGAAAGTGGATTCGGTGGTTTTGGAAACGATATCCATGGCAGCGGAAGGATTTAAGAATAAGATAAAAAAAAGATGTGTTTTAGGGTTTCGGGATTTAGGATTCAGGATTCAGGATTCAGGGATTCAGGATTCAGGATTCAGAGTTTCAGGATTCAGGGTTTCGGGTTTCAGGATTCAGGATTCAGGATTCAGGGATTCAGGATTCAGGGATTCAGGATACAAGGAAACGGGTTCGTGTTTCAAGGAATTCGATATGAGGGATTCGGGTTTAGATCTGAATCTGAAACAAGGAATTTGATTTAGGATACGAGGATACGATACGAGGATATAGAGAACACAGAAACCCTGTGAACACGGCTAAATGACATAGAAACCCTGTGAATACGGCTAAGGACATAGAAACTTCTCTTCAATTATCTTCTCCCCCTGAAGAGAAGGGTATGTCGGAGTCAAGAAAGAGGCAAAATCTCCATGATAAAGAGAAACAGATCCGTTTTCACTCCCCCTCCCCCCCTTGAAGAGGAGGGGAGGAGAATTTTTGATATGAGAATTTAGAGACAACCGAGGATCGATTGCTCTGATACCATGCTAAAATATGAATATTGGGTTTGAATATGTTAGGTTCTTCTTTTTTATTCTTCTCCATAAGGAGGTATATATAAGAGTTTACATGAGTGCTTTACAAGGAATTAGATATAGAAAAGGATTAGGAAAGTATCTCCTAATTATACAATGATTTGACAACTATATAAAATAGGAAAGTAAATCCCTTAATTAATCAAGGAAATAAATCTCCTTGATTAATTAGGAGACTCACTTCAACAATACGGTCAGGCGCAAAGCGGGGATCTCTCCCAACAGAGTCTGCTCTATTCGCAAGTGCCTGGGATCGAACCCAGAACCTCTTGTTTAAAGGATCCAAGCCCCTTCCACTTGGACCAACTCATGTTGGTATTGGAATCTTTATTTTACTTCTTACACAAATTGGTCTGAAATACATTCTTTCGAAACAGGAGAATTGGCATGGAAGCTAATGAGGAGCTAAGGTCCATCTTCAAGAGGGATGTCCACCTCATTCTCCAGGTTAGACTTAAATGACGCATTAGCAAGTTGAGTTGAATGCCAAGAAGGGCACCTTTTCAGGCCATACTGTCTTGAAAACGAAGGTAGGTTGAGCTATGATCCATCACAAGATGGAAGTGCACCTTATTGTAAGGTTGGACTTGCGACATGTTTAGTGAATAGAGAGATGAATGCCAAAAATTGCAACATTTCATCCACACTATTTTGAAATGTACATAAAGAAGCTTCTCAGGCCTATCTTTACTCTATTCTCCTTGACTCATCAAATTTATGAAGGCCATCCATCTAGTGCTGAGCTTTCAATGGCCGAAACTTACGATTTGATATCAACAGAAGTGATCGTTTAAGTTTTGGGATTTGAGGCCAATAGCGCATGGGCCTTGTACTATAATTCTGACAAGTTTCTTGTGTACAATTACAAAGATGGGGTTG